AAATGAGCATGGTCTCCTCCTGTCTCTTTCATTAATGGTCATGGAATAACCTTTCCAAGAATGCAGGGGCCAGGGGTTGAGGGACTCAACTGGCCTTCGTGGGCCAAGTTTTCCCAGGGGCTGAATGAAGTTAAGATGGCCCCCCCAAAAAACAGCTCACCAGTGTCTCAGAAAGGTTCTTATCTGAACCAAAGAGAACACCTTGACTGAAGGAGCTATGGCATGTATTGGCTTTCTAATGTTTGAGACTCTAGGTCTGTGCCTTGAACCTTGGCAAGGAAGTAAACTTGGCAATTGGACAGAGCATAAAGATTTGGGAAAATTATTATGTGGCAAGCTTAGAGCAGTATGAGTCTTCATTCACTCTGTGGCCTTTTTAAAAGGGACAGCTCAGTACTCTTCAAATCAACCAGATGCCCTCTGAGGGGACAGAGTTGCCCTTTTACGGGTTCTGTAGTTATTTGCCTCCCTGAAATCCTGTATCTAAAGGTGGTTGACTCGTGAGGTTCCAAGTTTGAGACTGAATGAAAGGAACGGACCATTTGATTTCAGAAATTAGTTGTAACAAGTCACTGCTGCAGGTATGGTCACCTGATTGTCATTGGTGATTGAACCTAAGAACCTTAGTAACAGAAGCTGTAGGCCTCTACCATTGGAAGTAGATAGCTGAAAGTCTCAAGTTTAACTGATCCACATGTGTGCACCTGTAGCTGATGTCAGTGGTTATTTCTTCCAGAGATCTGGCAGTGACACACACAAAGAACTATGGCTGACTGGGTCTGTTTGGTGGTGCAGACAGAATGAGCTTTGAGTAAGCTTTGAGTCATATATCTGAAACCTGCCCCTGTTTCTGAAATCAAACTGGTACGTTACACCAGAGATTCATTGCATATTCATCTGAACAACTGCATTATGCCAAAAACTTATTGAAATCTTAAATCTGACAATATCTCTTTTCAAATTCAATTAATTTTTTATTACAGTTTAGCCCATTAACTTGACAGCTAATTGCAAGTATTTCCAAAAGGATTTGAATGAATTATTCATATCATATCAAGCAATCCTCTCCTTCCTATCCTCTTTCCCCCTCCTCTTGCATTTTTATGTTTTGGCAGCAGCCATGCCTTGATATTCTTGTCTATCTGTTGTTAATTGCTTAGGTCACTGCTGTAGAACAAATGTAAGTGTCCTAGTCAAATCCAAGATGGATTAAAAACACAATGTATAAATTTTTGCACAGTTTCTAGAGAAGACTTCCATTATGACTTGCAGTGATCTTTTGCTGGGGTGCAAGGTTACTGAAACTAAACTTTTCCACAGGGGTAGATTAGTTGGATCAATTTGAAAGCTGCCTTGCTTGATTAGGAACTTGTGTTCTAGTCATTAGGAAACATGTTTCTATTCATCTCTACTTGGTCACTTTGGAAGTAGAAGTGACCCTGAACAGGAGGTTTTTTGGCTCTGGTGCTAGAGGTTGTCTATATGGAAATATGTTATTGATCTTTCTTCCCCTCTTGGGATCAGATTGGGTGTTGTATTTTTCTATCTTTTTGCTATCAGTAAAATGATGGTTTAAATTTTGGGCCTGCTCCTATTTTTAAAGCTGTTTTGGATTTACTAGGTCCCTTGAACAGGCTCTGTTGCTCAAGATTACTTAAAAAAAAATCCTATTAAGGGTTTTTTAAATGATTTTATTCTTTTTAAGTTACTTAATCTAATTGCTGCTGTGGAGCAGGTAAATTTATTAAATGTCTCTGGTAGGTATTTTAGCAGTGACTTTAAAAATAATGTATATCTTGATTGGATATAATGTATATAATAACGTATAAGCCATTTCAGTATAAATACATTTACCACGTGCAAGTATTTCTACTATTTTTGTTAATATTTTTCTTGTTTCATCCAGAAAATATGTACAGACACACCCATTTCATTCAGTTTCTCTTTGATATGCTATCTTTCCGTTAGAAAGAGAGAAAGAACACTGCAAGTATTCACTTCACACTCAAAGGTACAGACAAGAAGATCCGTTTTTGCTCTGTGCAGCTGAAGCAGATAGAGAAGGGGGGACTGACTGGCTGGCTGCACTGACCACTTACGCAAGACATGTTGGCATTTGCAAAACACAGATGCCCAGGACTGAAATGAAACTTTCCACTCAGAGCACAAGGGTGTCATTTTTCCTTTCTCCATTTTTCTTCTTTTCTCTTGTCCTCATAAATGTATTGTACAGAATCTGCTGTTGGCTGTGGAGCAGCTGTAGAAACCTTATGCAGCTGTTCATTTGGAAGCCATTTTCCCACGAACTGAGGATGACTGTGAAGAATTTGTACCTAGCTGTATTCTGAAAACAGAATAAAGTCAAAATGTGTGAGTGCAGCAAGTCTCTTTTTTAAAAATCATTTTTCCCTATAGCACCCAAGTTCAAAATGTAAGATGCACATATAAGAAAGCATGCAGGCCCCACACCTGTATCTTTCTCTACTGTGTGGAACTTAAGGTGGTTCATGCTTTTAGTACAGTTTTTTCTAGCTCAGAAATCTGAAAAAGAAAAATCTTTCGTCTCTTCTATGTGGCACCCCCTAAAACTACCTCTACCTTCCTTGAAATTGTTCCAGCCTCTACATTTGGTAGAACAGTCTCAGTGGTAGTTCTCATTTAATTAAGGATGCCAGATGCTCATCTTCAAAGAGAGGCAAAAGCTGGAATGGCAGCTATGCCATGGACAGCAGCGTTTGGCTAGCCACTTGATCCTGAGACCAATGCAAAATTGAAATGAATGGGCTAGGTGGAGAGAATTGACATTTTCAGTGGGGGTGTTTGTGTATCAAACTGATGAAAAATTTGCATTACTCAGTCATTAAAAAAACCCCAACAAAACAAACATTGGGAAATGACTGTTTCATCCCTGGTATTTGTATGATTTGAAAGCATGTTTTTAATCTTCTCTTTCATTGCATTTTAAGATGCAAGGGGAAAAGAAGCAATGGTGAGAAATAGGCAGGTTTATTTTGTGGGTATTGATGTGGCTTCCTAGGTTTGGAGCATTAATCCCTCCTTAGTAGTCATGTTCAGGTTTAAGCATGTTGGAAAACAGGAACTGATGCAGACCCCTGAGGAGGTGAAAGTACTTGTCATATCCTTCCCAGAGGTTTTAGGTTGCTTCCCTTTAGTTGATTCATGCACATGTCATGCACTATCTAATGCTGTGTTGATGACCCCTGCTGTTTCTTCATGTTTCTTTTGAAGGAGATGAGAGTGCTTAAGAATAGTTTTGAATTGGAAACAACTTTATGGACTTGCTTTTTTGTTATGTGAATTAGCTACTTTAATTACTTGTCTTGTCTTGTCTTGTCTTGTCTAGTATGTTTATGGACTTGCCCTTTCCTTATATGAACCATTTTAATTATCTGTTATTTTTAGTACCTGCAAGAGATTTACAATGAATGATCTGTGCTGATAATTCCAGGCCATAGTTTCCCTTATTTATGAAGAACCAGCCCGTGAGAGACTGCCCAATAAGTAGAGATCAAGCTATAGTAATTTTTTAAACAATGTACTGACTTCTTTATGAGTGCAATGAGCCACAGTGTGTAAGAAAGTTTCTGACTGTTAGAAATTATACTGCTTGTTTTATGTAGTATCATATTAGTTTACCTCTGTTTCTCCAACTTCATATGTTTATCTATTAGGGCCCCCAGATCTCTGGCTAAGGACAGGTGGAGTGGGGGGGCAGGGGACAGGTAAATGATAAACAGCACATTAATAAAAAGCAGATTTAAAGAAGGAAGCAATTTATGTGAAATAAAAGATATTTAAATTTATGTTTTAATTATATTTGAGATTTCTAACAATTTTAAAACAATGCAATACAACCTTAAAAAAAGAGCCAAAACAAAACAACAAAACTTGCTGTTAAAATCCCTTGTGGATTACTCACAAAAATGCTTTACTTGTGAACTGGAGACAGAGACATAGATTCTGAATAAAATTTTCCATCAAGAGTATAAACATTTTTTCTCACTTTTGTTTTTTCTTCTTCTTTGGCTTTTTGTATGTCCTCACTGCCAGCTATCTTGCTGAGTATGAACCAAGACAAATAGACAAAGCATTCTGTTTTCAAAGCTACCTTAGGGAAAAAATGGTCATATCACATCTCCTATTTTAAATTCTGATTTCTGTACTGTATGAATTTTAGTGCCTTTTTTTAGATTATTTGGTTTAAAGGTTTAATAAGAAGATATTGTGTTATATTACATCTCTTTACAAAAGAATTCAAGGGAAGTTTATTCACATTGTGATTAAACAGACTTCACAATTGGATGGGACAAGCTTACTTGTAATGATCCCATATCACGATGTTGAATAAAATTACCATTCCCTTCAGAACAAAATGATAGTTTCAGCATTTTCATATTGATTAATATCTTACCTAATTTGATGTGCTCTTATGAAAAGTAATTTAGAAAATGAGTGTGTTGATAAGCTGGAAAGATGAAATAGACTTAGATGTGAGATACATTTACTGCTCAAAACCCCTGGCCTTAGTATTATAAGTAGAATAAGAAGCACAAAATTCAGTAAAAATCAGAATGTTTTACTGCTGTTAGTCTTTGCTCAAAAGGAGAAGCAAAAGCGTGGGTTAGGATGAGGAATGAACACGACTTATTTCTAAACAGTAGTGTGATCAGTTCAAGGTTGAAATTGAGGGCATTGGGGGATTGAGGGCATGGGGGCTTGAGAGTAGCTGTGAATGCCAGACTTCACATGTGACTTAATAAAGGGGCTAATGTTTCATGCCTGTAAGTATGTAAGCCTTTAGAGGCACAAATATTCTTGAGAATTTTAAAGGCCTTAGTCGCTACAACTTTTACAATTAGTCTTTAATTGAAGTCTTGAAATAGATCTCAAAACACAAATCATATAAAATTAGCAGATCCTGAATCAAACTTTAAAAAGCATCTGCTTTTCTAACCGTGTTTATTGCTTTCATTTTCTAGGTCTTCAGGGATTTTGAATTGCAAAACAATTCTCCATTTAAACACTAAGCTTATTACACCAAAGGTAAGAAGTAGTTGCATTACTGTGTTATTGCTTGATTAGTATAACACTGACGATTTGGGTAGGGCTAACTGAATTTTAACCTTTTGCTTGGGTTTTTGAACAATTTTTGTTGAGTCCTAAAGTAGTTTTAGATCAACACCTATTAACTAGCATTAGCTGATCCTGAAAAGTATAAAGAACCTTCAGCTCACATTTGACCCTTGCAGGAATTCACCTGCAGGCTATTCCCCTTCACTTATTCAGAGTTTAGGTGTATTTATGATTGTAAGAAGCTGAATATGAGGTTGGTCATTATTTCATTTTGTAAAATTCAGGTGCATGCTGTTCTAAGCAGGGCTAGAAGTAGTAGTGCCTACTACTAAAGTTATCTAACATTTACCAGTATAAGACCTTGTTTGTAGTTACCTATAACTTTACTAAATGTTAACTCTTTCTGCTGACTTTTTTCCCTATGACAGTTGTCTCCTTCAAGCTTGTTTTATTTCTGTTGGAAAATTTAAGCTGAAATAATGCAAACGTTTCTGAAAAAGTGGTTTGAGAAAATGTAGTTTTGACTACAATATTTCTATTTGGTCACCTTTCTCGAGAAGCTCTAGCTTCTCCTTTATGCTTTGAAGCATTTGTAGGCTGGGATGTGCTTTTTGCCAACACTGTGAAAATTCATTCCAGTTTGGCCCATTTGAAGCTTTTGAAACACTGCAGTTCGTGCACACCCAACAGAGTCTTGCAACAGCTTCTCAGCTAAAATGATCAAAGATTTAATGGAAATAAGCAGCCTTTGGTTCCCTGCACATCTAGTTTTGGGCTGTTACGCTCTGGGTATGAGTGGGAGCAGAATGGAAAGTGGGAAGGCTGCTCTCAAGGCTCCTACAGATGGGCCTTATTCAAATGCAGATTTGGTTGGCACAGGACCTATGGACAGGAGAATGGATAAGGCAGATGAGATTGGGACAAAGGAGCCTGGGTGTGGGAGAGACTGGGACTCTGGTGGGAAAAGAGAGAGACAAAGAGAGTTGGATCAGCTGGGTAAAGTGACTGGGACTGGAAGCTAAGGAAAAGGAACAAGCATGGGGAAAGTGGGAGCAAGTGGGTTAGGAAGTGAGACTGAGCGAGTAATGTTGGAGACAGTTCTGGACAGGCTCAGCAAGAAGACTGACTGGAATTTAGAAGCCTGCAGACTAGGATGGGTAGCTAAATAGTGTGGAACGTGGAATAGGAGCCGGGGTGAGAAAGAGATAGCACTGGAACAGGGATGGATTGGAGGAGATAGAGCAGAATGTGTTTTTGTTTTTTAGTTGTACAGTGCCTACAACGCTGGGGTCCTGGTTCATTTGTAAGGTTCCTCAATGTTATAGTAATACAAAAAATAACTGCCCACTACAGAACTCTAATGTAGTGGTTTTCAACCTTTTTAGACTGATAACATCCATCTAAAACTTTTCCCAGAAAGAGAAGTGCAAGGAGGAACGCTCCTTCTGCAGCTCTTCCCAGTTTGGTTCCAAGGCAGATGAGACAGTTTCGCCCCGCTGTGGTGGCACCCTAGAAATGGATGCTGCTGCCATCTGGTAGAACTGCCCTGCATGCCTCTGTTTTCAGGACACATGTCAGCACTGAACTCGGAAGAGCTACAACAGAAGTGGTGCATCAGCCTGCATGGTGTAATGTAGGCAGATATGCCTTCCTGCTGCAGCCACTTCTCAGTTCAGCTCCAACATGCCTCCTGAAAACAGAGGCAAGTTGGGACAGTTTCATCCCACAGTGGCAGTGGTGGTGGCAATGCATCACAGTGCCCCAAACACATTCTTGCAGTTGAGAAGCACTGCTATAATGGAACCTGAGACTCCTGAGACTCACCAGTCCTTTGATGTCAGCACATATCTCTGAAAACACACAAACACACTCATAAACTACCCTATCCCTTCTACTGCTCGTCTTCATAGAAAACCACAACCTTCGACTTCTATCTGTTACTCAGGTGAAGTGGCAGAGGCCTATACTGTTCATATAGGTCTGCTTACTGGATCTAAAATTCTCACCCCTTCAGGACTAGGGAGAGAAGTTACACATAAACCAGTTTAAGTGACCAGAAACTGGTTTAAACCTGTAACAGAACATAAGTTTAGTGCACATAAACCAGTTTCAAAATGGCTGAAACTGGCTTAAGATAAACCTGGTTGAAAGTAGTATCAGATTTAACTGATTTAGGTCAAACCTGTTTATGCAACCTCTGTTCCAAACCCCTTCCTGGGTTAAGTTAAATCAGGGTCCTCCAGCATCCTAGCATGCTGGGCTGTGTTCTCTGCTCCAAAGAGCAGGGACGGCCCTGCCCCCATCCTCTCTAGCCCAAGCAGGGGTTGGGGCATGGCCAGACACATCTCAGCACAATCCTATTAAGGCAAATTGGACACGGAAGGGGGTTAGTTCTTCCCTCTTTCCCCTCTTCCCCCCCACCCAGGCTGAGTCTGCCTGTCTGTGGGTGAGCGGTAGGGACTGGGGTTGGCAGACCCCAGCTGAGGTCCCTGGTGGCAGAAGGGACAGAGGGAGGAATTAACCCCCTCCCTGCCCCCTTTGCCTTAATGGGGCCATGCTGGGATGGCATCTGGCCATGACCCCACCACTGGAGCAGAGGAGAGGCAAAGAGGGGATTTATTACCTCCCCCACTTTCCTGTCCCACTGGCAGGGACTGAAGCTATTCTGGCATGGTGCCATTAAGGCTAAGGGGGCTAATTCCCCTCCTCCCCAACCAGGGGACTGCAGCTGGGGCGGATCAACCCCTGTCCTCTGGGGGTGGGGAGGGGGGCTCTGTGCAGTGCTGGAGGGGCACTCTTCTTCCTTCTCCCTCCCCTCACCATGGAGGGGGGTTCTGTGCAGTGCTGCCTGGCCCCAGAGCAGGACTCTTCCCCCTCCTCCTCTTCTTCCCTTTCCTGCTGTCACAGGGTAGAGGGATGGGCTCTGTGCAGTTCTGCCTGGCCCTGGAGGAGGATTTTTTCCTATCCTCCCCCTTCCCCCCACCCCCACTGCAGGGTGAGGAGGGGGACTCAGTGTGGCATTTCCCAGCCAAGCCCAGCCTGTACTAAGCTGCAGCCACTGGGGAGGGCCCCACCCCTGCAGCCCAGCCTGATTCCACTCAGCCCCAGCTGAGGCAGCCATATGTGCCCAGGCCAGGCCACAGGGGTAGGGCCCTCCCCAGCAGTTGCAGCTCAGACAGGGAAGCTGTCAGTGAGTGCAGCCTGGCCCAGCATACATAGGCAGCAGCTGGCTGGGCAATGGGTTACCCAGGCCAGCTTGGAGGCACCATTGGGGCTCATGTGTCCACAACTTTCTGGGGCTGGGCAGCACTGCACAGACCCCCCGCCTTCCCATGTTCCCTTCCCACCCTGTGGGAGAGGGAGGAGGAGGAGGGCAAAGAATACCCATCCAGGGCCAGGCAGCATGGCATGGAATCCCCCTCCCCACCCTGTGGGGGGGGAGAGAAGGAGGAGGAAGAGGAGGAGGGGGAAGAGTCCCTCTCCAGCATTGCATGTAGCCCCCTTCCCTGCCCCGTGGAAGCAGGGGAGAGGGAGAAGGAGGCAGGGGAAGAGTCCCCCTCTGGGGCTGGGCAACAGAGCTGTGTGCCTAGATTTCTCCCAGCTGTCAGGGAGTTGCTGCTGCAGGCAGGGCTCTCCCCCTCCTCCTCCTGCCTCAGCATGGGGGTCTGGCCGTGTCTCCATATGGCCAGGCTCTCTCTTCCCCCACCCTCCAAACCTTGCAAGCCAAGGTAGGGGTTTAAACCCATCCTCAGGCATACTCAGGCCTGCTGGGGCTTGGCTACCCTCTCCCTGCCAGCTCAGCTTTCTTGTGGAAGGGAAAGGAGGGCTGCTGTAGTGCCCCCAGGCCTGAGCCACTGCAGACATGTGCCTGCATTTCCAGAATGAAATGTGGATGTCTGTCCACTTGCAAATCAGTTCAATCTCTGCAGGTTAGACTGACCTGCAAAGATTGAATCAATTCAGGCTCAGGCTTTTTGAATGTCTGTCCCTAGCCTTGATGATCTCCCCAAATGTCAATTCCTCCTCAATCATGATGACATTTCTTTTTTTTAATAGCTTGATTTTTTCAATAAAAAGACACTCCCACACAGACATGGATCCTTGTTGTTTCCTATATTAAAAGAACATTACTGATAAACTCTGGAAAGTTGGTTGACTATCTGAGGCAGCACACTAATCAGGGCTCTACTGCATAGACATACCCTCTGGGCCTCAGCTCCCCATCAGCAAAATTGGGATAATATTCTTCAGCTAACAGAAGTATTATCAAGTAAAGCATTCAGAGAACACCGAGTGCTCAAGGTAAGGCCACAAGCAAATTAATAATCATACTTTCAAAGCAGGGTATGAATCATGTACAGCAGGGGTTCTCAAACTTTGTGATACTGTGACCCCAAGTGCTGAATGGTGGCTGCAGGGGATGGGGAGCTAGCACATGGCAGCCACAGCCACCATCCACCACTCTGTGCTGCTGCTGCATGCTACTTCCCCACACCACTGCATGTACCCCTCAAGAAGTTTGCAGCCCCCTTTTAAGTTGCTCACAACCCCCTGGGGTGTCATGACCCACTTTTTGGGAACGCCAATATACAGTAAATAAGGTTTGAGACCACACATTGAATATTTAGGAGACAACACAATACTGAAAGGTTGTTTAGTCCGAGAGCACCATATACTGAATGAGGTATATGAAGTATATATTCTTTTCACATAAAGAAAATAGTATCCAATTCTTTTGAAAGCTTGACTTCGCTAAGGTAACAATGTTATTTTTATGTAGGAAATTAGGGGGTATGTATGTACAAACTATTTAAAAACTAATTTAAAATTAAATAGATTAATCATTCATAATAGCCATTTCTGCAAAATATTTTCTTCTGCACCTTAAACCACACGTTGCTTTTCTCCTTGCAGTGATGGTATTTGAAATGTCTCCCACAGTGGAGATGAGACTGGATTCAGGTGCTGTA